GACAGAAGGAGACAAAAAACAGAGAAAGCCAGATCCCCACTCTGTAGCTATTTTACTTTCATCTCCTATAGTTGGCTTGGAGGAAATGCTGAGCAATCCAACCTTATTTTTACCTTTCACCCTTTTTGTGCTCTCGGGTTTTCCTTTTTTCTTACCTTGTGTCACTTTGACTTTCTCATGATAGTCTTGCCCTAGTTTCCCTGCTGGTAACTGTCTCTTCATGTTAAAGGCTTTGGCAAACAAAAGGAGAATGTAGTGGCTGGAGGTGCATGGTTTTCTGGCTGGTATCTTTCCTAAAAGATTGTCTCCATTGTTGATTATAGTAATTGGTCTCTACTCTGCATGTATGGTTGTTTTTATTTTTTCTTGCATTTTATTTTTTACACAATTATGGTCTGGTCAGTTTAATGAACTATATGCAATTTGATAGATACATTGTTAGGTTATTGCAACAAATTATGATTGTTAACATATATCTCTGGGGGGACATCTTTGCACAGTAATCTAAATTGCACTGGACACAAAATTAGGAGGACATTTCATTTTGAAGACAGCTAATGACTGTAGCTGAGAGCAGATTTTATTGGTTCCACATGACTGCCTGGCAGAGAACAGGGAGCTCGAAAAAAGTTCTGTAAAGCCTGTTTTTGTTCTCTTTTCACTCAACCAGTGTAAGATAATTAGCATGAGCTCAAGCAACACTTGAAGGTACAGTAACAGAGGAGGATAGGGAAATGCTAGAGATTGGGAACGTATTCTTTAGTTATCCCTTCTGGCCTTAACACAACAGCAAACTAGTCTTGACTTGAATGTCAGCCACTGCATTTAACTAGGATTATGTGAGGAAGAGTACACACACTTCACTTGCATTATAACAAATGGTAAAAGAGTGATAGTGAGACATTTGGATGATATTAGTTGGTTTGTGGTGCAAAGATTCACTGCCCATATGTGAGATACTGAACCTGAATTCCTGTTTCTCACTTCCAGATTTTTCTGTAACAGATCGTGTAGATAATTCTGAAAAATTAATTTTTATTCTAGAAGCTAGACAAATAGGTATTCTACAATAAATAGACAGAGTTTTAGCTCAGAGTTGAAAACGTTATATTTACCTGTATTGGTGGCATTTATGTAGAGTTGGAACCATGCACCAGAAAATACAGTTCACACTTGTCAGTTTTATTAGCATTTCAGCAGTTTATTAATGAATGAATCATCAAATTAAATATGTTACAGCTTTGAAAGCCCTGTATCCAAAGAAATTAGAAGATGGTTGAATGTGGAGGGACAGGCACATGTGGAATCTAGTGACATTTACAGAAGCAAAACGAGTCTTACCATGTCATGGTCTGAAACTGGCCCAATACTAGTCACGAAAATGTCAGTCTTGACTTCAGTTACACGCTCTGTTGAAGCAGGAAATTGCCAGAGTGAGTGACTGTCAGTGGCATTCATTAGCCCCTAACTACCTGTTAATACAAGACCACCTGGCTTTAGCCTCTGATCCATTCAATTTAGTCAACATTGTTTTTAACACTTAGACACACTAACACACACAGTGGGAAAAAAAACATTAAAAAACATAAAAATAACCATTTTGGAAGTTGATAACCATTTCTGCTGGTATTGGTTTCAGTGTCAGCTCCATTACTTGGATAGTGGTTCAATCTCTTAATAAAATTGTGCATTGCTGTATTACTGAAAATATGCCACTCTGTTCCCATAACACTGATTATCAAAGTGGATCTGCTGGAGATTCATTTGGAAATGGTAGCAGTAGCTATGTGTGTACAGTATGTGTGTGCGTGAGTGAGTGAGTGGTTTCATTCCTTGTGATTCTGAAACTGAAATGTGACAGCATGATTTATGAATGATACCCATCATAATCCATAATTTCTTCCCCTCGGTTGCTGAACTCCTAGCAGGCCTGGTTTTACTTGCCTGTCTGTTTGATGCCTGCTGCACCACACTGTGCGATCCTCGGTGTCCTTCACACACCAGTTCTCACATTATCTCTCTCTTTTTCTCTTTTACTCTGCTTTTCTTCCTCTTTATCTGTTTCTCTCATTTTTCATTCCTGGATTAGTCTCTCAGTCTCCCTCGCATTTTGAATCTCTTTCTAACAGCTGACCCTTGACAACAGATTGAATAGGAGCCCGCACAATAAAACTACATGTATATTACAAGTACTGGCTTCATGAAAATACGCCATTTCACAAACACAGCAGGTTAAGAATGAGTCTCCATTTCTTTCTTTTATCACATAAACATCTGACACAGAATGTAAACCCGCCTCCATAGATTTAGCCATATGCATATTATGCTATGTAGTCATGTGGGTGCATGGTAAGCTATTTGTGGAAGTCTTTTACATAATATTTGCAAAATAAATAGACACATTACAAACAAAAAATAAAAAAACAATGATTCGAACAGTCTTCATGAGGGATGAAAGACATTCAGTGACTTGGGTTTACTGACCTCCCAGTCCTGGCCTGAGGCGATTGTCATAGCCATCCAGAAGGCTGTCTAAGATCTTGGTGAACACTGTAGTGTTATCTTTCTGTTCATCTGTCATGCCATTCTGCCCAGAGCTGGCAAAGCAAAGAAGATTTAAAGTCAACTTTAGAGTCCAAAATCACTGACAAAACTGCCAAAAACATAAGAACAGTGTTTAAATATGAGGGATATATTAAAGACAAAAAAGAAGATTTCAGCTCTGCAGTTAGGGAAAGGTCTTTTTTAAAGTTAATGGGCACCACAAAATCTATCGTGACTGCATTTTGCACTTTTTTCACAGTGTGACAAAAAGGACTAGAAAATGATAGTTCTGTATGACGCTGACAGGTCATTGTTGTTGCCAATTTTTCATTCATAGTGTTTGACCATGAGGTTTTAAATCATACTGATACAAAGTGAATAAGCAAGTGATTCTTCAGAGATGCGCTGGAAAGAAAACTAGCTCCTGAAGCCATGTTATCATGTACCATCCCCTTGAAAAATCATTAATTTAGTAAAGACATGTTTGCAAGTGTTAGTTATTTTCATTTGGATGTAAAACTGGGCAGGCAGCATTCACGCACACAGCCACATGTAGATATCATCTCACAGCGAGAGAACAGAGAAATCACCATTCATTATTTATACCTTAATATGGTCCTTTAGACCACAAAGGCATTGCTGAATGTGCTGTTTGAACAACATGAAACAAAATGCTCAGAGCAATGCCGAAGCTTGCAGCATCTCTGTGCCTGAATGTTTCAGCACCCTCGTTATCAGGAATACAACCCCAGTTACATTTAGTATCATAAAGGCAGGATGTCACAGGAATGTATGAGAATGTGTGTGTGTGTTTGCATATCTGAATCAGTGCATGCCTGTACTATAGGCTGTGGATCTGTGTACACATTTGAGCCTGTGTACATACTGTATCCATGCACATGTTTGCATATGTGTGTTAGCACTGATAATAACCAGATGGAAGTCTTAATAATGTATTGTATAGCAATCATCCTCCCCCTCTTTCTTTAATAGCCAATAATGCCTGGTTTGATTGCTTGCTAAATAAACAGCAAGTGTTTGGAAACGAGCTCTGCTAGCTAAACAGCTCCAAGGAGAGGGAGAGGTCAAGATTAGTTAGCAGGGACCTGCAACATGAGGGCAGGAAAACTAGGAGGGATGGCAGGAAGGACAGTGGTGTCTGGAGCAATATACAAGAAATGCTCTAAAGAAAGACAAAGAAGAGAAAAAAGATAACAGAGATGAAGGAGGGTGAGATAAAAGGCAGTAAAATTGCGAGGTTAAGACAAGGTGAGGATGCTTTTAAGTGAAACTGGAGATTGACGTTTTAGACAGAGGCAGCCCACATACCAAACTGTAGATTGAACACACTCTACAGCTTTGAATGTGAGCTGCTAGACATTTTGCTGTCTAAATAACGAGGCTCCATCCACATCACACAGGGATTTGTACAGAAAGGTTAATGAACACAGTGCCTCCAGTTTCCCTTAAGTCACAAGCCTCCCTCTATCTGCCAAAAATTAAAAAAAATAAATAAAAAAGCTCTCTCATAGCCACTAAAGCACTGTGGAAACTGTGATGAGCAGTCTTGTTTTGCATCAGCATTGAAATATTCAGTCTGAAAACAATAATTAATCTGTTGTTTCATTCACGGAAGCCAATTATGCATAAGTACAGGAAGCATAAATTACATTCATGGGATGTCAGGTGAAGCTAAAATAAAACACAGCCTCCTCTTTTCTCTCTTCTTAATGCTCCTGTATTTAGGCATTTCCAATTGGCCAAATCAGAGCAAGACACCAAAACAGTTTTTGGTCTCTCTGTCTCATTGTTGCAGACTACACAGTCACAGAAAACAAAGGATGTCCCTTAGTGCTTTCAAGTTTTCCAGTCATTAAAAAATACATAAAAGCTACTCAGCATAATTTATTTTCTTTTCAGCCTACAGGGTCTAGAGAGACTCAAAACAAATGGACACTATTAGCTGCTCCTAACGGTTCTTTGCCCCTCCCATCACGTTCTGTTTCCTAGCGACAACATAAACTATGGATACCTGGTTGTGAAAAACTGCAGTCTTGAATCGAACCGCTAATCCTCCGGTTAGGAAATGACCCACTGTACCTCCTGAGCCACCTCCAAAGTCATATGTTGCTAAAGTTACCAAAACATGCTCAGAACAATAATTCTGAAGAATGCCACATCTGGATTAAATTTGGGTTCTTTGGCTGGTTTTAATGTTCCCCATCTCAAAAAGCCAAACCAGTATTAACCCTGGTTTTTGCTCTTTCTTTGTTCCACACTGCAAAAGAACACGACCTCTTTGGTTTGGGAGCCACTGTTTCAGACCTGTAGCAGATGAGAGCTCCTCCATGGCTAGCTGTTTGAAATGATTACTCGTGGTTTGAAAAACATTTCTTATATCCTTGGCTAGGTGGCAAGTGGGGCTGATTTACAGACCTGGTTTTGAAAACACAGGGTAGAGAAGCTGGAATAACAAAAGAAATGCTGTACTGTAGGAGACAGACTGTCATGGAGAGGGGTAGAATAGCTGCAAGACATTGCATCCTGTCTCATTCTCACTTGCTTTATCAAACAGTATGAAAAAATCTTAGTTAATGATTTTTTAATAAAGAGAAATACAAGAAAAGGAAATCATCCTGTCTTGTCATTAATAATTTCTGTAGACATTTTTGTTACAGTGAATGAAAGACTCTATCCAAGGGCACAGTTTTTGTCCTTGCATTGTTTGAATTATAGTCTGCTTCATTTCATTCAATTTACAATACTGACAACTCAGTTATTTTTGCACATTAGGAATTCATAGATTAATATGGCACAAACACTTTTGTAGTGTATAGGGAAAACGTGGTGGCAGTGAGTGGGTGTCGGGAAAGGGATGTATGTCAGAGGGGGGAAAAGAAAATTGAGAGAAAAGGATATTGTGCAAGAATACACATGTTTATCAGCCAGGGCCCACTTCCTCATAAAACATTGTGCACCATCCCCATCTACAGGTCACTGAACAGCAACAATGCTGTTCACACTCATTCTGCCAGTGCCCCTCTCTCTTTCTCTCTCTCTCTCTCTTTTCATTTAGTAGTTCTCTCTCTGTCACTCTCTGGTGACTGGATATCTAATTATAAGGAAATTTCTTTTGTTGGCACCATACTGTAGCAGAGTGCTAGGTCTTCCTGATTATTGTGTCTTGTTGAAATCCCTAAGGTGTGTATGTGTGTGATTCTGTACTTGACTTCAAAAAAGAGGACTGGCTTATACAGTAAATCTCTGGGTGATCATTGATTTGCAGTTTGCAGTGTCAGTTCCTCAATAAAGAAATCATTACTTTTACATTTTCTTTAATGTTCTCAACAAACTCGGTAAGTCAGCCCCTCGATTTTAGAGTGGATGCATCTCAAAACTAAGATACAGCTGGGATAAATCAGACTGATCAAAATGGTGTGCAATAATGTTGCATTGTGGTGCATCATATATATCGAATAGGACGCATTCATCTGTGTTTTGCATGGAGGCTGAGACGTACTGTGTACAGTATGGATGTATGTTTTTGTGGTGTAGCTGTCACAGAGAGAGGAACATGCTGGGCCATCTCAAAATGTAACCATTCACATCAACAGCCTATGACAGTTCTACTGAATTATTCAACCATGCAAAAAAGCCCTTCAGTTTCTCTAAGAGTCTCCAGAAGAACCACAATGGAATCACCCCTAGTAGTTGCAACAGCTGAAGGATTCAGCTATTGATGTCTTATTTGTGATTGTGAATGTTTAGCTGGTGTCTTATGTGGAATTAGTAATCCAAGAAGTGCAGTCAGATTATGAGACCATGCATGACTGACCCAGCTTTTGAATCATGTGGGAATTAATGCAGCTTGAGTCACCTGACACTGAATTTTATTGGTGTCATTTCTTATCCAGTCATTCTGCTTCTTACTCTCTGTTGGTCTGCTTCTGGTTAGGTGACATCTGACACCTCACCACTGACATTAAGAAGTGTGTCTGTATGTCGACCCCACTATCCCCACAGCCGCTGTCAAAAACATTTGCACAAAGTTGTGCCAGATATCACACAACACACACATCATCGACTATACACAGGCCAGGGCTGAAAGCTGATAAAGCAGATGTTCCCTCATAAGGCCGGGGAACCCAAAAAGCTGTTACCTTGATAACATGGATAGTGGCTGTCTTGGCTCTCCAGCCCCTGTCTCTGGGTTGCACTTCTTTCTACCTCTATGCAATTATAAGTATGGCCATGCACTGTGGGGATGCCCCACTTATAGCCATAGGAAATATGCACTGTAACAGTGAAACCCAATAAACTAATAGACAAAAAGACAGAATATCATCCTGGCAATGTTAACACTGCTTGCCTACTTGACCGACTGACTGACCGACTGATTTATTGACACATTTATTAGCCAGTTGACCAGCTGGCAAACACTGAGACCTGACCAGACCATGCAGCAGTTGTCCTTTTCAACAGAACTGTATATTGTCCAATGCAGTGTGGTCATCTTAGTGTGTCCCCCAAATGTCAGCATGTGCAGTTGTATTCCAATAATCTCTTGATCACAGACAATACTTTGCCCTACAATTTGGAGAGCATTAGCCTCAAATTCTGTGCAAGCCAGGTTTATATGAACAATGTGCACTGTACAGATTGTTTGTGGTTTTCATATATTTAGAATTATTCAGTGAGCCAAGGCCATACACATGTACATATGTATTTGTGAGTTAAAGTTCATTCTTACCTTTTCCCACCCAGTACGCTGTTGGTGACAAGCAAACAAACCCACAGACACAGAAAGGCCGTCCTGCTCCATCCACACATAGTTGCAATATGAGGACCTTTCATTGCTGGAGGTCAAAGAGAAAATGAACATCATTACTGAGTCATGTGAGCCACTGGTGTGCCATTAGTCCATCACTTCCTCTCATCAGGTGTCAGCAAACTTTTATATCTGCCAAAACAACAACAGCAAATGTGGAGGTGGAAGCTATGAGGGAGGTCTTGTTTTTATTGTGATGCTTTATGTGAGGGTTTTGGTTCTGGTCGAGAGATTCACTGACAGCACGTGAATCAAACCAAATGGCCCTGCCTCATGCACTGGGCCATCACACATGATGGTTTTGCATCATCATTTTTGAATTACTGTAGCTGTCACGTTGACAGAGGCATAATCTACAAGCGAACTATGTGAGAGACCGAATTTACATAGCTGTTCCGCTTTTTGAGTGTGTTCCCAGTGTAAATACGACTTAATATTTATAACTGCCACTTAATATTTGTGCACACGGTATGGCTGCGTCTGTAGCGCATAATAATTAAGACGGGGGAAAGCAACACATTATCGACCACATAACATCCTGTGTGAGCTTGTGGCACCTGTACACAGCCTCATCTACTGCCCTGCAATGTGAACCGCGGCGGTACCGCAATATCAAACCAAATCCTAAAATTAGAGCATTTGCTTCCTCCTCAATCATTAAGCTATGATGTCAGCCGGGTCATAAAGTATGTAAGCAATAGTCTGCGCTATTGTGCATGCAAAACACAATGTTCAGATTCACGATCCATTTTTGATAGCATAACTATTAAGTAATTGGTACTCACGTAGAAAGAAACCATGCTAAATCAATATTTCACAACCGACCACAAAATCCTGCCAGTGAAACAGAGAAAAGACAATACCCCTGCTACTCGCTTGTGATGTTCCAAGGTGCACCGTTAACGGATGGAGAGTCGGGGGACATGCAATGCCTTAAAAAAAATTAAAAAGAAATGAAATCCTTTGGTTGACAAGGATTTGATAAAGCGGGGATGATGCAGATTAACGAATGGAAGAGAAAATCCCGCACAAGCGCACTGTCTAAGTTATTCGGGAAATGTCACCCTCTACCCTACTATATATGAATATATTGGAGCTGGATAGAAATTTAGCATGCAACTGGCGTCACTGCAAAGCTGATCTAAATACATGCATCCAATTCGTGTGAGACAATGCTCGTTGATGCTGTTTTGGTCGGAGCGCTGTCCGTGGTGCTGAAACCAGGCTGCCTCCTGCAAAAGCATCAGGCGGCGACTCATTATCATAAAATAAACCCCAAATTCGACGAAACTGCACCTTTCTCCTCAGTAAAACACCTCTCCGATTCTATCAGTGCCCATCATGACAAACCATCCTTTTCTAAATCCGAGTGTTACTCCCTTCTCCCTTTCTCTCACCTGACAAAAAGCCGGGAATTTTTAAGAAAAGCACTTACAGCAGATGAGTCGGGGGATATTCGCTGTCCGCTGCCTATATCCTCAAACTTTTGTGAATATATTTTCTAGCCGAACTGAATGAGAAAATCCTCTGTGATCTCAGATCTGGCGAATTTTAGCTCGAGGCTGGAGAAGCGGCTGCTGACGATATGCGCAGGTCTCTCTCACTGTTCATTGGTGGTGCTGTAGTGAGTTGAACTCTCTGTCTGCCAGCAATAGAAATGTCCTACTAAACTAGCAGATGTGCTCTGTGTATCCAGATCTCTAGCCAAATGTTTTGGTTCATCACTGGTTCCTGTAAATAAAGTGCACGGCAAATAGACTGTGTCCAAGCGTAGACCGTTTAAAATTAGACTAGGCTGTGCCTGCCTAATATAAACACTAGCCCGCCCATTTTATATGCAGCACAATTTAACTTCCATTGCTGTCGCCCTAATCTCTTTTCAGTGATTGTTAAACAAAAATCGTCTTGCATTTTCAACTGGATTTGCTTATTTTTCTTCTTCGTCCTTTCTCTGTTTCTCTCCGTGACTCCTTCATGATGATTTCCGAAGAGATACCATTTACATTCATCAAAGGTCGTCTCTCGATCAAATCAGCTAGTGCATCTTAAGGACAATATAGTAGTCATCAAACGGACAGTATAAGTATTTGCGGTAAGGCAATAGAAAAAAAAATAACAGGCATGGATAGGGCTTGGATACGTGCGCTTACAAACAGGGGAAAGACACCCCCCAAATTTTTAAGAAAATCGTGTTCCCTCACCAGCTTGCACTGAGAAGAGCCTACTTCTGCAATAAAATACACCTCGAATCACTCACCGTTTCCTAAAAGCCCACGTTTCGCATCGAGACAGCAGCACAGTGTCTCTGTTTACAGCCAAATATTCTGCTGCTACAGCCGCGCCACTCCAGACTGAGCTTTGAGCTGCGTGCATCTGCAAGGGAGGGAAAAAGGGGGCTCATGGTACCCAGCGTATATATTTGTACTCATCTACGTTTTTCAAGTTAAACTACAAATTGGAGGACATTTTCATCACCAAGGGCTATAAGAGGCATAAGAGGAGAAATAAGGACAGTAATAAGTGTAGTTTATATAATATATGTGCCATTTAAGCCTTCTATGAATCCCAGCTGTTGATCTGGGAATGCTTTTGACAGAGGAGCAACTCATTTTCGCCGTCACTTTGGACTGGGGGTTTATTTTCATCAGAGCAGGCAGAGTGAGCTGGCAGTGTAGTCACGTCAGTCTGGTCTGCAGTGCAACGTTTCCTCTGTTTGTGTGTGTGTGTGTGTGTGTGTGTGTCTTGATTTATGTGTGTGTGTTGCTTCAAGGCGTGTGGTTAGAGTAGTGCATGTGCGTGATTACTTATGTGGGACGTTATGGACCTATATGTATCTATCAATCTATCATACTTCAGCGTTGTTCGTTGTCAAATATTCAAAATAAAGCTAAAAATAAAGGCCAAAATGCCCGACAATAATCCAAATATTCGACAATGAATTCTACTCCCGTTTTTCTCCCTCTTCTTGCGCTCTGCACATATTCCGTCCCCATAACCTGATGCTGCAGGTGTATGCGCGTGTCTTAATAATAATAAGAAGAAGAAGACTAAAGCTCCACTAGCCCAACGAGCTCCTTCTGTTGAATTAATGCCATTGTAATGCAAGTGGAGCTTCATTTCAAGCTGCTTTCCTTCTCTCAAAGCCAGACGCCACTGCTACGTGTGACTCGATTTGCCAGTGTGCGCGCGTGCTCGTGCAGGCATGCAGATCCAACACGTGCCCGCGTGCTTGTTGTGTAGACGCGTACGCCCTTAACGGATAAAGAAGAGGGGAAAAGTATGCCCCCCCCCCTTGACGTTTCAATAACCTTATCCATTTTACCAAAGAGGAGCATTTTCGTGGGGAGGGAAACAACGGACAGCTTCCTCGAAGCACCGCCGCGTCTCCAGTGTCTAACAAATAACGGCAAGCAACGAGACTTGATTACTCACATACAGCTCCATCCCCCGGGCAGGTGATGGGAACAGATTGTGAAGTGAAGTGAAGTTAGGTGTGTGCGTGCGCGCGCGCGTAGGGATAAACGGAGAGAGATGGATGAAGGTAATTTAGGTGGGAGATGTACAAGTTATGGGAAACTAATCACTCGTTGTGAACAGTGCATTCGGATGTTCAAAGAAGGGATATTGACGAACTACGCCCGCCTTCTCTGTTCGTCATGGTGCTGTATGCTGCGATCATTTGTTTCGTTTCACATACCAGCTGTGGTCAATTGACATTCAGAAGCAACGTGTGACAGAGTCATTCCAGTATCACTCGTTTAAAAAGTCATAAAGTTATGGGTCTGTGTACACATGCAAGTGCACAACAATTTGATCTTTGGGATGTTCTAGGGAGCCTTTGTCCAGCACTTAAACCACCAGCATTGTTGGTCTCAAAGGATAGTGGCCCTTTGAGCACTCACGACCCTGAAAGGAGGTCAGCTCCTTTTAGTTTAGTGAATCCCTGCTTTTAATGACTGTAATACAAGCTTAACACTTCCACATTCTTTCTTCAATCTTTGTGCACATGTGCACAGACAACAGCAGATGAAGCAGCAGGTTCTGTTAGGAAGTAAAGAGCTTTATATAAATGGGGTAAAACTAGGGAAGGTGAAACAGGGTTTTTTCATCTTTTTTTGGAGTAGATCACTGTACTCTCTTAATCTGGCATGTGATAGCAGTCAAATGGAGATTCCTGAGCCTGTGTGAGTCTCTACGCTCATGGAGTCTTCTAGCCAACAGTATATTTTAACTCCAGTTCAGTCAGGTATGCTCCTCGATTAAGAGGTTGCACTTTCTGACCAGTATGCAACAGCAGGCAGGGCTACGACCTGGCTGCCTCCAACTGAGGCTGTAGCAGGAAACAGAGGCAGACGGGGAAAGAAAGAGAAATGCAATACTTCAGCTCAGTTACTGCCCTAAAGCTTGATTTGCTTTTGAAAGTTGTACTGATTTGGTTTTTGAACTTAGTATCTGCTCTACCAACTCCCGGTGTCTGTTCATTTTATCCATTCAGTTTGGATAGAGCAGACTAAATGAGACCTTTCACATGTATGTAGGGATATTTTTAGTGAGGGTTTATCTGTATGTTGTACCAAGAGGAGGAGAGACTGTAAATCAAAGTCAATGTTACTGTAGAATCCTCCAACAAGCAAGAGTGAAGGAGGGCTGGCGCCAGAGTGGATCAAAATGCACTATCAGAAGTTAAAGCTGTGAAATTTCTGGGAACCTGCTCTTCTAATAGTTTTTACTGGTGGACACTGAGCCACTGCGGTTGTAGTATGTGGTTCTGATTCTGCAAAGCATTAAGAGTAATGTCCCCTCAATCAGTCGTCCTGTGGAATCAGTCAAGCTGCTGCAGAAGACAAAATAGTGCTTCCCCTCTGTGAGCTGCTCTCTGCAATCAGCCATAAGCTGGCGTCTCCTCAGACTCGTTATTTCAGAGCAAGTCCAGTGTGAGGCACATGTACAGGTGCACACACACACACACAGGGCACATTCATTGTCATAGAAACCTGCTCCTATACAGTACAGTAGGTAGTCATGTATCCTTATGTGCATACACGTACTATATGGATGTTTATATGCATACTTACATGCATATGTTTGGTCTGTGATTTGATCATTTGGAGCTTGATTGTGGTAAAATGGTATGGGTATGTGTTGAACACAGTGAGAACACTTAAGCCAGGCATCCTTAGAAAGGGCCAAGAGGATTGGAATAGCTAGTGTGTCGTTTGAGTTATAAGCATAGTATAGGAATTTATGAGCATATGTGATATTAGACAAATGAGGAATTCATTTTTTGTTGAAGTTGCCACTGTACAGCATTTATAAATCATTTGATCCATTCTAATGTTTTAAATCGTGGTTCTACCTCTGATATAAACCTTCAGCATTTATAAATCATTTGATCCATTCCCATATTTTAAATCGTGGTTCTACCTCTGATATAAACCTTTAACAACATTGGAAAATATATAAAACTTAGATTTACAGTGGGTATTGTGTATTTGTATGTCAAAAGATCTGTCAGTCAGTTTAGAAGTGTTGGGAGGTTCCACATGTATGCTTAAAAGCTTAGTGGTAGGGATTGAATATTATACTTATAAAACCCTGAATAGTTTCAGCACTGTGCTACACTGGAGGAATTTCAGATTATATTCAAATATGTCTGCTGTTACATTTAAAACAGCAGTTCTTTTCTTTGATGTGTGACTTTGGCTTTCTTTGTGCAGAAAAAAAATCATGAAATTCTGTAGAATTTCCAAAACAGGTTACTGCATTTGTGCAATTTCTGCAGGGCTTTCTGTTTAAGCCTCTGCACAGTGGAACCTTTTGAAGATGATGAAGCATTCCCTCTGCAGGTTTTAAATAAACAAAATAATTAAAATTCACACAGTAAACACAAATCAAAACAGTAAACTTACAGTAAGTAAATAAAGTAAATAAAACTAATCTGCTCAGTAACTACAGTTCTATTACAAAAGCTTAATCCAAAATACAGTATGCATTTGCAAAAGCACACACAAGCGAACCATGCATGTTTGCACATTAACAGATATACTTTACATGCATGCATCAGGATTGTGCACAAATATTTATTTCCATTATGTCTCCCACATATAAAACCTTGTGAATTAGCTACAACCCCACATTTATTTACTAACACAAATACACACACCCACAAATGCACAACACAATGCAGAGCAGAAGAAGGAAAGAAACCCTAAGCTAGTGCTAGAGTCTTCAAATCTCTGCAGGCAACTGCATTATGCAACCAGTTAAATTTTTTTCACACTCAAATATTCATGATTGCCACTGAAATGCCATGATTCATGAACACCATGAGAATGAATATCAGAGGAACCACACGGCTCAGCTCTATTTTTAGAATACATACATGTTGTTTCATTATTAGTTCACAACGGCACTTTGACTGTGACAACCATATACAAATATGTAAAAGTGAATAAAACCCACCAAGTCATGTTCTGACTGTTGGTATTTTATCCCCTCAGGTTAAAAATAAAGGTGGCAGTTTGTGGATTGTTTAGAAATAACTGACACAATCTGATGTTTTGAAGCTACTGTTTAGCGACATTAACTAGTCAGAGGTTACATTATGAATCTTGTTGGAATTCATTTGTACATGTTCCATGATTATTATAACATTCTGAAAAAGTATGGCTGGGTGAGAGAACAGATCCCTGTATATACTGTAGACATATCTGTGCATTTTCACACACACTGTTTAAATTGAACTTATCAACAGTGCACCATAACATTTTAAATTTTGCTAAGAATCTGCTCTTCATATCAGTACCTCTAAATGCTCTACTAGAGGAACAGCAGTCATTAGACACCATGGTGACTGTTGACTTCAGATATTTCTGCATCTTCTTATCTTTACACACACACTATTTTTTCACCAAGGTTAAGCATTGCATCTGTTCTTCATATTATGAAATCCAGTGTTTTTCCACTCAGTTAAATTCCACCACCATGTCCAGTTAGAATTCATCTCAGAAGGACTGAAACCATAATTCACTTAATTAGCTCCCATGCCAATATGAACATGGGTATACAGGG